CTGTTTCAAGTCTTGAAATTAATTCTAGACTGAACAAATACTAAATTTAACTTTTCTGCATTAAATCTCGAGAATGACGCTGTTTCTGACGGTGTCAACTCCCGAGCTCACATTGTACCCTTCTACTATGGGTATTTATCTTATGACTTTAACCTAGCTATCTGGCAATTAAGAATTTTCTCTTCTTTTAAAATATCAGTGCGTTTTTTTACGCTGCTAATGTCGTGTTGTGCTTGGAGATTCTTGAAATTAAGATTCTCAACTATACTTGTACTGAAAATTATTCCGCCTTAAAGTACGGCGAGAATTTATCGATCGAATTTACTTGATCGAAAACATGAACTTAACATGAAATCTGCTACAGAATTTAGGAAGACAAATATTAATTCCTTAAATCCTTCAGTCACATAATATTTTTCTACGAAAATCCTTGGCTTAAATACATAAATTGTATTATTTAAGGTATGTGATTTTCTTAGTCATTATAGAATATGGTATTCTCCTCCTGAATATGGTATTCTCCCATGCATATTGCTTTTATCACCTATCAAAAGCTTGAAGTGACCATTACCACAATACTCAGAGTTAGTAGTACATGCTTTAAAAGAAGTATAAGCTCCATGATACCTTAAATCAGATTTCCTTACCCACACACGTCTAGGAAATTTATTTTGCACATCAATCTTTGCTTTCAGTGTCCTTCTTGTGAATGCGGAATTTCGTGGATTAATGATCATAACTCTTTTTAAAGCATTCAAATATTTGTAACATCTAGGTCTAATGTGGCCAGGCAAATTACAATAGTGACAAATTAGAACAAACATGTATGTTGCTTGTCTTGTTACAACAGCCTTTGCAACAAACTTCTTGTCTGATCTTACCTGAGATTTTTAAAATGACTGCATCATAGTACTGGTGGCTCCTTTCACAAAGAAAGTCTTCCTATAAATTTCTTGACCGTTGTAGCCAAGGCCTGAATAAACACCACAAGTTTTTTGTTGTGAGAGTAAGTGATCCAATTTTGCAGCGCCCAAGTTTAGCATCCTTAAATTCTTCTGGGTCTGCTCCAATTCGAGTCTGGTATGATGCTTTGTTGCCAAGATTTCATAATTTGTTGCAGCCTTTTTCAACTCATCTTTTTCCTTTGTTAAGACAACAACTTCATCTTCAAGTGATTTATTTTGTTTGCAAACAACAAGCCACTTGTTATACATCTTCTTATAAGCCTCATGAATTTTCTCAAGACTTAGGTCATCAACGTCACTGTCATCTTCAGTTTCATCATCGAAGTCTGTATCATCAACAACTCCACTAGAGGTTGTTACAGACGCTGTTGCAACAGACTCTGCAACAACATTATTAGTGCTAAACAAATTTTTATCTATGAATTCATTTCTTATAATGAAAGCCACATAATTGTTGGTGTGATCATCCGCATCCTCTTGACTTTCATCTGAATCATCACTCCATATAGATGCCATGGCAGCCTTGTTTCTCTTCTTGAGAGTGTTTGCACACTCCACTTGAACATGTCCAAATCCTTCACATTTTTGGCATTGTATTCCCTTATTTCTTTTCTTCTCTTTAACCCATTGACAGTTAAAATTCTTCTTTTGAGAATTTATGTTCTTTGAATTCTCTCTAAATCTCCCTTTCTTATTGATCTTTCTCAACATTTTATTGAATTTTTTGGTGAGTAAAGTAAGAGACTTACTCAAGTCCTCATCTTCGTCAGACTCATCTTTGGTGGACATATCATCATAATCTGCTTGAAGAGCAATTTCTCTACTTTTCATTTTATCCTTAAAGTTCATCTCAAAGGTTTGAAGATTACCTATGAGTTCATCAAGTCTTATCATCTCCATGTATTTTCTTGCTTCAATGGTTGTCACTTTGTAAGCGAAACATGTCAGAAGTGACCTCAAGGTCTTATTCACCAATTTGGCGTTAGAATATTTTTCTCCAAGGGCGAAGGCTTCGTTAGCAATATCACAAAACTTTGAGTTGAAATCGGCAATACATTTATCCTCCTCCATTCGTAAATGTTCAAAACGGGTTGTACGGATTTGAAGTTTTAAGGCCTTCACAGTATCCGTACCTTCATGCGCAGTTCGAAGAATATCTCAAGCTTTTTTGCGGACTCACATGTGAAAATCAATTTGAATTGATTAACATCCACAGCATTGAAAATGGCGTTCAATGCTTTTGAATTATTGTTTGCTAGCTTGTCCTCATCGCTGGACCATTCCTCTTATGGCTTAGGGACAATATTGCCTTCATCATCTTTAGTTGTTGGATAAGTCCATCCGGTTAAGACAGATCACCATGCCTTCTCATCAATAGCTTTAATGAAAGCTTTCATGTGAGCCTTCCAATAGGGGTAATTGACACCTTCCAAAAACGGTGGTTTGTTCACCGATCCTCCTTCTCTCCCGACATTCATTCCTGCAAAATCAACTAGTACAACAGGATCTTACCGAAACACACTTCAGTGACCTGCTATAATACTAATTGTTGGTATCAGTTTGAGTCTTTTAATACTTTATAAGACAGTATAAATAATGCAGAGACGTAAAATAAAAGAACACGAAAGAAATGGTATCGCGGTTCGGTCACAACCTACTCCGCGGAGCCACGCCCAGATGATGAACAATCCACTAAGAACTCTTTTACAATTCAATTGGACTTAATCTACCCGAGACTTTCTCTCTAAAAAGACACTTATGAACTTGCAATTTTCCAATGGACTTGAACAGTGAGATCCCCTCGACTTTTTTAACATTGAAATCCCTCCAACTAAGTTTTTCTCCCGTAAAACACTCAAATCATCTCTTTAGACACAAGTGCTCACCCCTGTCTCACAGCCTAGAAAAACTAATCACCCCGGTTTCTAAAGACTCAAGGGACACTTTGAATAAATAAGCAAAGTGTGAATAGCTTGACAACTTCTTTAATTAATTGGTTGAACCAAATCTGTTGCAGATTCTCATTGCAACAAGAGCTGCAAGTCTGCAACACAGCTGTCAGAGTCAGCTATCCCAAAACCAATCTAAAAATCAATCTTCTTAAATCCTGAAATCTTTCTGAAACTGATATACGAATCTTGACACATTCTTAGGAGACAGAGAAAGATCATCCAGCTGCGGAAACTCAATCAAATCACCAATTATCAATTTACCATCTTTGGATCAATAGTTGACTTTCAAAAACTGAAACTATATTCAGTTTCCAGATATGCAATAACATTCCATTTCTCACAAATCTTCTAGGATACTTCCTTCCTTCCTTCTATTAATCCCCAATCTTCTAGGATACTTCATTCTAAAAACTGATTTCTATCAAGAAAAGAACATTCCATATTTGAAGCAATCAAGCAACTAAAAACACATCCGATCTTCTCCATAAACGCGAGTTGCCAAAAATACATGTTTTTAAATTTTTACAACCAATGCCAACAAATTGCCAACTAAATTCCTAACAGTGCCGATATACTTTGTGTTTCAAATGAAAAGACTGTTTTTGATTTCGAGTGTTTGTTCTATATGTGCCTTAATTGAGAATGATTTCTTTCTTACAAAGAGGGCAATGGAGGTTGAAAACTTATTGGTAACATTAAGACTTGTAGAGTAGTTGGAATTGGCTCAATTAATTTCTCTGGGAATGCTTGATACTCAGGATTATAGCTACAAAGTTGGAGGCCGAGTGTTTAAGGTCTTAACTTTTAGGGTCTGTTTGGTTCATGCGTTCAAACTAATGATTTTTTATTCTAATATTTAAAATTTAAAATTTTTTATGAGAAAAAATATTGTAGTATAATCAAAACTATGAGTTTAAACGCATAAAACAATCGGGCTCTTAATCTCTGGTAGTGATGAAATGAACCCTTAAGAATGTATTGTACTTTAAGGAAAAGTTGTAATAGGCATGTGAAACCGTTTAAGATTGAGCTATAATCTTGGTTTGGTAGTACAAGGAAGACTCGAGTAAACCTACAAAGCCTTCATTACGGTCAAGATTGAGTTCAATCATCATGGTCTAGGGAGGTATCACAAATGCAGAATGGCTGATGATATCATCAAGTAATAAAGAGTGCTTGAGAAAATTAGGGTAAAAAAATTCTATGATTGTTCAAACTGTGATGTAATTTAAAATTTTCATCTCATCATTTAATTGTTTGTAAATTCTTCTAAATAATGTGGTGTATCTTAGATTCAAGTTAAATAATAATAAAACTTTAGGTTAATTTTTAGTTTTGGTCTCTAAATTTAAGAGCAAATATCATTTTGATCAAAACGTCCTTATACTATCAATTGGCTGTGAAAATAGGATGAAAAGAATAAGACTTTGTAATCATCCTGCTTCTAAATTTATTTTCTCTCTCCCTTTAAAAAAAGAATAAATCCATGAATAGTTCTTAAATTTTTCTTGAATCAGACTTTGTAGTCAATTTTGTTTCTATTCAAATCGAAAAAAGTGTTTCTAAATAATCATTCTGTTAAATTTTGAACAAAATTGTTGAATTGAACTCAGTGGAAAATCCTTGATAAATATATATATATATATATTTATATTAAAAGGATGATCTCATAGTGTCAATTTCTGAAATTGAATTATGTCAAAATCACGTTAGATTAAAAAAAATATCTATAATAAATAATTTTTAATATAAATTTAATAATTAAAAATAAGAAATTATTTTCTGGTGCTACAGAAAAGGTTCCCTAAAAATAATTTCTATCTATACTAAAACTAATATTATTAGTCTTGAATTAAAAAAAAAATAGAGAGATCAAAATTAGGGAACTAACTCTTATGTGCTATTTTTTTATACCCTTTTAATAATATTATAACATGTTAATTAAAATATCACATTAATTAAAAAAATTTATGATGATAATTAAAAAAGTCACGACGTAATATATTATTATCAAGATGCGGTGGGGAAAAAAAAAAAAAAAAGTATGTGGCGTTGAATAACATTTTGATCGATCAAGCAATCATCTTCAAATTCAATTTTCACACATCACCAATACAAGAGGAAGAGAGACGAAGAAGAAGAAGAGAATAGCAGCTCCAAAAATGGAGTTCTGGCACAAAGCCCAGAGTTTCGCCGAGGAAGCTACGAAGCGCTCGCAGGAGCTCGCCAGGGACGCCGCTCGCCGGACCCACGAACTCGCCGCGGGAGCTCCCAATCTCTCAGACATCGTCTCTGAGGCCTCCAAGCGCGCCGACCTTATCCGCTCCGAAGCCCTCAAGCGCGCCCAAAACCTCAAGTACTTCGCCTCCACGACGGAGCCTCTTCCTTCCGATAACGATCTCGACACCTTCGGAGTCACCGAGGAGTTGAGGGACTTCGTACAAGGCATTACTCCCACCACTTTTAGCGATTTCCCTCTCGAAGGTACTTTAGCTCCGTCTTCGGAATTTGTTTTCGTGGCTCTGTTTGGTTGCTGAGAAAATTTGGGTAACAGTTGCGAAAATGTTGAATATCAGTTAGTGATCATCGCTATTTTCTTTCCATTAGTGAGAAATTGTTGTATGGTCTCGTAATTTGCATGTGAATCATTGATTGGTCAAACACTAGTATGCTTAGTTAGCATTCGGGAAAGTTAACGTTTTACATATAGTTTCTTTATTAATAGTTTTGAATTTATTTGTAAGAAATATCTTTATTTTAGGAGATTTGATGGTCATGATAATTATAGATTACACGTTAGAAGATGAGAGTATTACGGCATTAAAAGCTATATCAAATTGGGAACAATTTGAGTTTTTTTTTTTGTTTTTTTTTAATTTTTTTAGGGATGAAATTAATTGTGGAGATCTTTTCAACGTCTTGCTTTAGAGAATATGCACCATTCCTTTTACTTCAAAAAAAAAAACAAAAAGAAAAAAAAAACAAAGGAAGTGTTCTCGATGATAATTGACAAAGTGCTGCAAGACTTTGAATTTGTTGCAAGTATTATAGCAGAGAGTTTAAAGAGTAGTGATGATGGGGTTTTGTTTCTTTCTACTTGAGTTCTGTATTTCGTCGTTACTTTATTCTGTTGGTTACAAAATATAAATTTTACCAGAAACACTCATTGGAGTCATAATGAAAAAGAGTTTGCTAGTTGCTTGTTGTTTATTTGTTCACTCTCTCTTAAATGGAAAGCTTGTTAGAAATGATTTGTGCAAGTTGCAGACGATACGTGGGTGTACGATGTTGATACAGTCTCAAATGTTAGGCAGGATCTCTCAGAGTGGCAACAAAAACATGCGAGTCTTGTTATTTCAACTGTCAAGGTAGATTCATTTTTGTTAAATAAGTTTCAGAAATTCAAGAAATTCAATGTGATGAGAATGGGAATTGGGAAGAGCTCATCTGAAGACGTTGGCTTTTTTGTTTTTTTTTGTTTTTTTTTTTTCGAACAATGTGTTTTTAACTATTCTAGAGAATAATTCCTAGACACAAGCCAAAAATGGTTTACTTTTTATCGGGGTCAATGTAGGATCTTCACAAGTGAAAACCCAAAATGCTAAGATACAGGAGAGGCAAGAGATAAATGAGATGAAAGAATTAGAGATACTGTTTGGTGTTTGTTTCTTAAATAGTCACTTTGTAGGGTATGACATGCATGGTCACAAGTTGGGTCATAAACACTATGGTGATGCTTTTCTTACTTCATTGATGAAACCGCAAACTGATCAAATGACATGGTGAAAGAATTGCTTAAGTTTCACATCACTCTAGATGAGACCTTGTCTAGAATTCATTTTATTACTAAATGGTTCATTGACACTAACAATGTTGTATAACTGTTTCATTTCTTGCAGGAAATTTCTAAATTAAGGTATGAGTTATGTCCTCGTGTTATGAAAGAAAGGAAGTTCTGGAGGATATATTTCATCTTAGTCAACAATCACGTGGCACCGTAAGTCATCTCTTGGGTTACCCCTTCATTCTGCAACTTAATGATTTTGCAGTTGTCCCGTTTGAGCCTAGAACCATTATGATTAATCTACAAATATGGCCATATATGTACTAGATTTTTGTAAAAACATAGTATTTATGTTGATTATTGGGTATTTGTATTTTAAAACTTTGTTTCTGATGTTAAATTCTATAATATGTCGTGTTTGTTTCTAAAACAATTGTGACATATTTGTGAAGCGTTCACTGTATAGCTTGTATACTTACATAAAACACTCTGGGTGTGTGCGCGTACATCTATATCTAATTCTTCAGAAGTGATATATTTTTTAAGCTAATTATGTTCAATTTTCTGAAAATCCCCCACTCAGTAACTACAAACGATACCCTTGCTAAACCGTTTTTCAATGGTTGTGATTCTCTACTCGTTTGATATATTTGTTTTACTTTTTGCATTGTTCCTTTAGCTATGAGAAAAAATACCGGGAGGCTGTTGAGTCAAAATCAGCTGAACAAATAAAAGATAACGGAGTACAGGAGGAACCCATGAAGGTTGAAACAACTTCCGAAGCAGAAGTCAAGGAAGCAAACCAGCAAAGAAAAACTTCAACCTCATCGTCTACAGAGCAAGACTTGGATACCTTTCTCTTGGGAGATCCTGGAGATAGTGATGATGATGGTTCAGGTGTGTTAATGTTTTCATTTACTTGTTAACTTTGTAGCTGTGGCTATTCAGAAAACTGGTTGCTGCATCTTTAGTCCTGAGTTATTTTCCCCTTTGAAGTGACAATTGTTTCGTAGTGATTAGATTTTTGTTGCTTAAAAATGTTATGGCGATAACTCTCTTCGTCTAATGTCAGATTACTATGAATAGAGCAGTAACGTGGATAAAACGTGGTGTTGTCCCTAGTAAGGTTACCCAAGAGGGGGGTGAATTGGGTTTTAAATATTTTTCGAGAGTTTATACAATCATTCAAGATTAAAAACAAATATAGACAATTAATTTAACACAGTGAGTTTATCAAACACTTGGTGTGCAGAAAATTATGTAAGTTAATGCAATAGCACAAACACTTGATATGCACAAGATGAATCAATCTAATATCATATAACGAATTCAATAAGCTTATCACAAAGAGTTTAAATCAATCAATGTCAACTATCAAATTTAAAGTGCGGAATTAGAGAGATAAGGTTAAGAGAGATGCAAACGAGATTTATAGTGATTCGACAAATAAATTTGCCTACATCCACTGTTGCCGAGATATTCCGCCTCTCAACCTCTTCTACTATACGATCGTCTATCCGGCACGATCACTCCTCTTACAAGATGGCGGATCTTTCTATCCGAGGCTTCGTCTAACCTCTTACACAATGTCGATTTTCTACGGAGATCGACCAACCAACAAACCCAATACGAAAGTAATGATTATGAATAGTGAATCACTCAGTCATACACTCCTAACAATGGTTTTACACAATTGAAATGGCTAGGGGATGATGAAATCACACTATCAAAATATAATCCAAGATAGGCTCAAGTATGTGTGAGAGAGTGAAGTGAGGCTTTTTAGAAGATGATGATTATGATGGCACTTTAGAGAAACCTTTTGGATTCTTAAGAGATTTAGGAGCTTTGAACAATTTCTCTATATTCAGGAAAATCCGCTGGAGAGAAAAATGACTTTTCTCTATTTAATCTCACTTTCCATCGGTCTTATTTTTTACCGTTTACCCAGTACCGGTCGACCGGAGCGGTTGACCGGTTAAAACAAATTTGAATTCCTTATATTCAACGATCTTATTGAGTATCTGTTGAACATGACCGGTCGACCGGAGCGGTTGACCGGTTGGCAGCACCTGTCGACCGGTGCATTTAGCCTTCTCTGTCACCGGACGACATAGGTCGACCAGTTGACACTTAGTTTGCCTCAAACCTTCACAAAATTGTACTTTTAGGCCAAATGACATTATACACTTAGTTTAGTCTCATTTTAAAAGAATAATGTGAGTGTATGCATGAGCCTAAACAAGAATTAATCATCATAGTATGAAGTCAAAATCAAATACAAGACTAAGGAGATATTAAAACCTATTAGTACTTGTCTTGCTTGATTTTGTTTGCTTGCTCTTGATCTTTGATTTTTCAACACTTCAAGCTTTGAATTCCTTCTTCAATTTGCATTTCTCAACCTTGAATGTATGCATTGTATTCTACAATATGTTTCTTGAGTTGATTTATAATATCAATTATGCTAACAACACAACTCAAAGTAGAATTATTAGTAACATAATACATTGTGTTTGTTATCATCAAAACATGAGAATATTCAACCTTAGGCCAACACGTGGAGCATTTAGGTTTAGCCACGCAACTACCCTACAGCTTTTGGCTAAAGTTTTGTTGTTCTTTTTCCGTTGTTAATGAATGTTGTTAGTCTTTAGTAATTTCTTTCAAAGAAATAATTATTTCTAAAAATGGTACTCTCTTGGGAGGAGGAATTTGATCCAGGCTTTCTCACAGGGGGAAAACTATGTTTTCTTTTGTTCATGGTTATGGACTGAATAACCTTCCCTGTTTGCCAGTTCCACTGCCCCCAGTTATTTATCGTCAGTAGATTAGATGTCTAACATTCTTTGTCTAAAGACCTACGCAACATAATGTTCTTTGAACTTCATGTATTCTGATTATGTTTCTGGAATTTCAGATAATAATGGCGGTGGTGACTTTGATGATGATTTTGACAAAATGCTAGAGGGCTTGGTAAGCAGAATTCTCTTATTATGTTTATGTTTAACCTTTTCAATTTTCTGGTGAGGGGTGATCCCGAATCTCCTATACTTGTGAATAAGTAATTTAGTAGTGCATTGCCTTCTAAACCATATCCAGCCCATGAAAGCCCATTGGCATTGATGATATTTACTAGGGAGAAAGAGGGAAATAGGTTAAGACTTGAGATGAATTAAAATTAATAGGCCAATAGTTTACATAAGTTAATAAATAGGCCAAATTACTATTTTTGTCCATAATTTGTATGATTATGAACCATAACTTGACAAGTTATTGTTCATAATTCACGGTTTTTGTCCATAACTTGTCTGGCTATGAACCATAACTTGACAAGTTTGTCCATCACTTATCTGGTTATGAATCATAACTTGACAAGTTATGGCCTATTAATTTCTATAACTAAAAATTGGCCTATATACTTTTTTAAGCTTTTCATATTGGCCTATTTTCTACTATTTTCGTATTTACTACAGTAATTAAAGCAACTATAAGGCTCCACTTGCCTGTTTTTATGACACTTCAGTGTGATGGTTCTTATGTTTTGCACCTCTGACAATATTGCTCCACTTTAAAATAAAAGTAAAACGAGGACGGAGTACGATCTTAAGTTATGATATTGCCCTTCAGTATGTCTGTTATGATATGACACTTCAGTATGTCTGTTCATGAGTCCATCTTAGGGCCTGAATTCGTTTTAAATTAGTATACATTTGTTAAGTATTGGAAAGTATAGTGCATCTTTGAACCCCTCATAAGAATCTACATCTTGTACTAGCATTGAGAGGATATTTCAAGCGCTTTCAAATTGTATTCATATAACCAGATTCTTGTGATACAAAAAACCCTGTAAAATAAATACGAGTCCCATGCTCGTCTGATACCTAGCAGCCATCGAATCCCGGTCAGTCATTTCATTGATACTGTTTTGAAACTTGCTTGAACCTCAGGATGATGACAAGGATGACTTGTAGGATGACTGCACAAGTTGTTGAAGCATTGTTTGAATTTGCTTCTTCATCTTGAAGGATTTTCGCTTTGACGAATGGGGTTAATGACAGATTATTTACCAATATGATGACTGGAAAGTTGATGTTATAACTCCAGATCACATTTTGTTTCTTTTGTCTCGTCATTTTCTGCTATGGTGTGCATAATCCTTTTTCTCTTTTGCCCGTCTATTTTATTCCTTCTTTTTTCCTTTGTTTGGTTAGGTGTCATTTTCTGTAACATAGTTTTCTTTTTCGGTCAGCTATTTCTCACATTTATGTATAGTATCGTTTCTCTTCTCGTTTATTGTCAACAAAAAATATATAGCTGGATTCTTAGGGTTTCTCTTGAAAAGGACCTTGAGAAATCATTCATAATTGCGATTATATTATAAGATAAGAAAAACTAGAGCCGTACTCTGTTTTATTTGCTTAATTGGCAGCAATATAAATTTCTCTAGTATTTGGATGGTGTCTTTTTCTCACTACATGTTTGTAACTACATTACGTAAAAGAACAAGGTTACTTCTTTCTCATAGCAGATGTCTCATCTTGGCTTTCATTATACTTCGTGAAATGTTTGTTTACTAATTCTTAAATGTCCCAAAATTTCAAAAAGGCATAAGGCTGATTTCAATTTGATTGGTAACAATTCCTGCAAATTTCATTGATTTATCCAAAAAAAAGAAAACGGAAAAGCCAATAATGCAACTCGGCCGAGGTATCTCTCAACTCCCACAAGCTCTGTTGCAGCAACCAAAAATAAGTATATAATGATAATGAATAAATAAGTCCAACGAATCTATACAATTTTGTGGTGATGTTTTGATAAATGTGTGATATTTGTAGTACCAACATTAATCATTGTTGCATTTTTTGTCCTCATTTTCGTATAGGCCATAAGTTATGCACACATGTGACATTCTCTTTGCTTAATGTATAAGTAAAACTACCGAGATGCATCTCATGCCATGTTCAATAATCAAAGTTTTTATTTCTATTTTTTTAAAATTAGACAACTACTATTTAAGCATTTTTATCCTTTTTTTTTCATTTTGTATTTTACATTTTGAGGTTATCAATCGTTCTTTTTTTCCCATCAAATGTCAGTTTAACTACCAAAACAGTTTTCACATTTTTTTATTTTTCTTAAAGAGCATTTAGATTTTTTTTTTTTTTTTTTTTTTTTTTTTTTTTTCAAAAATTTTTTTTTTTTTTTTTTTTTTTTTTTTGCAGTCAAAATTGACGTTGATGGAGAAAAACATAAGAATTTGCATAAAATTAAAATCTCTAAGTACAATTGCTATACAACCCAAAAAATAAGGTATGTTGTTAACCGCGAATGTAGGCCATAAAACATTAAAAAAATATATATATATATTTTTCAATTAATTAATTGCTAAAAGCAAATTGCACAGTTTGTTCCTCTTGTGTCTTGACCTCATAAGAGACATACAAATTCAACACAACACCTTCATATAGCTACCATATTACCCTATTACAAATCTTTTGCAAGAATTCCAAATTTTGAAATGTTCTCATGCTTTATTTTGTATAAACTAAACCAAACTATCATGTTAGTGGGTTAGTAGTACTCCATTTGGATTAGTTATGGTAAAGCGTTGAAATCTATATCAAGGGCACATGACTTGTTTAAGTCTACATTTTAAAGCTTATCCCCAAAAATTAATAAAATAAAATAGAAAGGGAAGAAATAGTGGTATTAAATTTAGGAACATTCAAGTTGGGTCAAGTTAAGAGAACACAAAGAGCACTTTTATTCATTATTATGGAGTAATACCCCGCTACTCATATGAAGTGAGTTCCGCTAGATAGGTAGGTGAGACCTATTATTTTATGAATAATGGAATTTTATCCGCATAGAGATGAAAACCATTTTTAAATCAAAAACCCAATTTCGAATGGAGGATGATGTCTGCTTCCACTAAATTGACTTGAATTTTGATTTTGTTTTAATTGATTGGGTTAGACGTTTGAGCCAAGAACTCAAGAAAAAGCATCAAATGGAACATTTTGAATTGGCATGAAGCGAACTTCTAACTACCTAATCCTTTTTTCCTTCCACAAATTTCAACAAGTTTAGCATTGATCCATTTATTAATTTAGTAATCACTACTTAGTTGACATTATCAAGCATGCTTAGTGCTATCATATATGATTCCATATAAAAACATTCATATGGCATTCTTTGCAGTTTGCCTCTATAATATGATTTGACTAATCCCAAATAGAATAAATAAAAATTAAGGTGACATTATAGAGTAGGACCATTTAGTTCTTAATTAGTGCATGACTTAGTATAGGTGAAATCACAACTAAGCAAGACGGCTAGGACAGTTATTTGTTTCTTGTGTAGTTTTATGAACGAAATAAAATGGCTTTTGAGTTATAATATTCTAGAGCCTCCAAATCCCTACATGATTTTATTAACTATTTAAAATAATAATAATAATAATAATAATAAAACTTTGAATGAATTCTCACCGTGTCTTTTGATGGAAACAAAGAAGTTGGGATGACGAGGATATGTCATTTGGAATGTACCACTATTTTATAAAGACATCAATCCACTGAATTTTCTAGACTATTCTCATCATGTATTACAAATACCATGGTGGATGTCTTCCGTTCTTGCTTATAATCATGTTGGTCGGTTATATTGTTGAAGGATTAATTTAATACGCCTTTTATTTTTCTCTTGTTTTTTTTTTTCCTTCAACTGTTCTTTCTTCTGCATGCATGCTTTTTTCTCCCATGTTTGGAATGGAAGGTGTTGACGTCAGGTTTCATACTTTATCTCTCACCACATACATGGTAACTCGGGCTTTAAAAGGTCACTAGACGAGTCACCACGACTCTCTGAACAGGTAGAAGCGATTGGTCGACTAGTTAGCTCCACCAATCGATCCCACGAGTTGACGAACAACCTTGGGCATTAAGTCATGAGAGAACATCCTCAAGACATTCTAAATACATAATTTAGCAACAAGATCATCTAGAAAATGAAGGAAATCAACTGCTCAAGCTAGAGGAATTAAGGAGGAAAAAGGTCAACAGTTGACTTAAGTTGCAAGCAATCCTCTTATTGAATGAAATTGATTGTCTTCCACATAAGGAAACTATATCTCCAACAATCAGGCAATAAAGAGGCCGGATCAACTCAAAATAAGGAAAATACTATGATTGACCAGTCGATTATGGACAGAATCAATGAAGCAAAGTCATGCAGCGCCCGAAAAGGAATGGAATATCACGAATTGAAGGCTATATTATGCAAAGAATCAGGAAACAACTCGTGGATCCTCATCAACTATAAATACAAGGCATTTAGACGTCATCTGCATACGACACAAGATGCTTCCTCTGCACACAAAAGCTCTTATGCTCATTTCCAGAAGACTTTTCCATTTCTTACTGTATTTTCCAGCATATATTTTTCTCTCTCATCTTGTACTACTCAGAATGACTCATTGTAACGCTTTTCAGCAATCATAGTAAAACCACCGGAGCCTTACAGTTGATGCATCATGCATTATCAAGAGAACCACTATAAATTCATGTATCTTCTTACTGCCTTTCACTTACTTTCACATTTACTAACACTCTCGTTCTCGCAGCGAATCAATTTCACTAATCGACGATTCCTAACTCAGTCATTAGCCCTTAATTTAATCAATTGTAGATTTTACCATCTACCGAAGGTTACATGTTTTTTTTTTTTTTTGGTACTTTAAGTATTATGAAAAACACTGTACTTAAGCGTAGTAAACTTTATACAAATTTAGACGTATCTTACCATATTATATATCCATTCTAAATATCATGTTCATGGATGCTCATAAATACAAGTAGCCATTGGGATTGGGCTCTTATAAAGAAAGGTTGTTAGAAATTAAAACTGCTAATAGTTTAATTAATTTCTCCATACCAGATATTTAATAAGTATCAAGAATTATATGACTATTCTGTAAATTTGATATCCCATTTAGCTTGACGATTATTATGTTTATCAAAATATTAATCTTTACAAGTTAAACCCTCGTCCTTTTATTTTTCTTAAAAAAATATACTCTAGCAAATATCTAATCATATGGCGGCGAACAATTTTTTTTGTGATAAATAAGAATTGAAAAATCGATATTTTTTACCGATATTAACTTTTGGCACTACCGGTAGTAGAATATATATATATATATATATATAAGCAGCAAATTTCGATATTTCATGAAAATTATTGAAATATGACAAAAATAACGGTAGTATGACAAAAGTTCGAGGAAACTCTGATAAAATTTCAATGCATTCGAAATTTTTTCTTTAGTGGTCAAATCCAAAATGTATGATATGTATATTTGTTTGTATATGTAGTTTTACATTTTAATAGAATAAAATAAAAAAAAGCTCATACATGGCATGTTCTTGTCATTCCCGTTTGTGCAAAGAATATTGCAAGACCTGCTGTCTTTTTTCTCTCTTTTCTAAACACTTAATCTAATTTGAACTTCCAAGAAAGTCCTTTTTGTTTCATATTTTCTTATAATGTATGGAAAGCATTAGAATAAATTTCAATAATATAAATATTTTCTAGTATGCGACCAATTAACTTCGTAAATATATTCTTTTCATTTACTGTGTTATGGTCATATCTTAATTCTTCTCTATGTGGCTGATACTTCCATCTGTAAATTTCTTTTTTGTTTTTTTTTTAAAGTGTAAATTTTTTTTTTTTTTCACGGCACGTAGTCCTTGAATTTCGAAAGTTGATAGTAATATTAACTCCAAACGTTCACAAGGTTAAATTTTGAATTGAATGATTATGATTTTTTTAGTTGCATTACTTAGGGCCTGTTCGTTTGTCCCAACTTACTCAAGAAAGGCCCACTTTAGTAAGGAAATTGGCCCAAGTTCACGTTTGGTGTTTGAGAACTTGAATTCGAACTCGGAAATGAATTCGAGTTAGAACCCATTTCTGAGTTGCACTCTCCCCTGCGATTCGAGTTTACTTCTCTGCACTTCTACAGTGCAGATCTAGCTCCTACACTGTCTTTTCACGTGGTTAACCGATATTCTCCGGAATTCTTCTCGCTTATCGTTCGACCAACAGCCACGATATGCTCCTTCAACATTATACCATCGATTTTTGAGAGTTGTGCGTTGTTGAATCACTATTTCCCCCAATCTGATTTCAACCCTAGCCCACCATTTCGGTTCCCATCTGCATCTTTTGTGTCCCCCTTCCCCCACCATTGTCATCGTTCTTGTTTCCCCTTCAAAACGGGGAAATTTGTGGGGACTCCGTTGGTTCGGCGACCTCGGTGGGTGAACATCGTACTTCGATGTAGAGTCAACAGTGTGCGCCGTAAGGCTCTCCAGCCGAGACGTCAA